AGAGAGAGAGAGACATATTGTTTAGGCGGGGAAAAACGAGAGGTTGCACAAGAGATTTCTTTCAATCGTCGAACCAAGTCTCGGAATAGTAATAATAAAAGTAACGATAACGTAAATATAGTAATAATTATCTTAAAAATACGCGAGGAAGCGTAGCTGTCGTACCAAATATATTTTTATCTCGCACGTGGCTTCAAGAAGTTTCTTCGTTTTTAAGAAACTTTACTCCGAGATTCGTGGAATTGGGATGCGCGCTGGGATGTGTGTTAATATTAATTTTTCTCTGTGAGCTATTATTACGGAACATGTCGTTGGAGGATAAGGATCAACGTCAAGAACGTAACATAAATGAAACTGCTGTCACGGATAATGTTACCACAACTTAATCTTTGTTTTTTTCTTACGTTAGAAAAAGTTGTATATTACGTCGTGCAAGTTATATTTATGAAATGTGTTGATCGATTATCGCGAATAGGTGCTTGAAAAGGTACACGAGTTGAGTTTTGAGTTCTTCGAGTCCAGAATAATATTTGATTTGTTCTATCAAGACTCTGTCATGTAAAAGTGTATATCTGTTGTCTGATTCTATTTTTTAGTATTATATATGACTACGCAGAGTTATATATAACATATATATTTAAATATGTATACATATATAAAAAAATAACTTAAGTTATAAAAAAAACTCTTCGTTTTTGTATAGCTTCCAGAGCGTAGCAGTTTTTATTTGGATTAAAAAAATAGAATTGGTAGATATTAATGGCTCAATTCTCTTGTAATGCGGGAAGTGCAATTCGCAAAATAATATTTTTGTTCGATTCATAGTTGTTGTTTGTAGACGCATAGAGAAGAGATACGTGATTATCTCAAAGAATTAAGGCGGCTGAAAAACTCGTCGTCAAAAAATGCTCAGTGTGCAATAATGTATTCGTTTGTTTTTACACTTTATCGTCAAATTATTTTTGTTTTTGCAATGTCAAGACAATGTTAATGCGTAATATCGCGTTCAGATCGAATACTCGCTGAGAAAACAATCTCTGAAACGAACAAAAGAATTCATTGTAGAATGTTAATTAAATATAACAGAAATACAAGGATTATATAAAGAAAAAAATCAAAGTGCAAATATATTCCAATGTATGATGCAATAATAAAAAAAATTGCAAATTTTTATTGTAACCAATTTGATATTTCGGATATAAAGAAGAGAAATCGGCGAGTTTCGATCTCTAGAAAAATTGTGTGTTTGATGAAAGCAATTTAGGAGCGCAATTTTTATATAGAAGGTGAGAAGTGTTATTTTAAACTTTGACGGAATCAGTTTGGGGAGGATGGTATCGATTGTACTTATCGGCTCGCAACGTTCCTGTACGTTGATTTTCGTGCAAATGGAAATATTTAACGTGTGTGCGTACTACGGACGCGGATTACAAGATGAGAGAGAGAGAGAGAGAGAGAGAGAGAGATGCGAAAGAAAAAAAGAAGAAATACGCGTTCATTTAGCGCCGTGTGCAGCACAGAGAGATTTCAATCGTTATAATCTCAGGGAAAAATCC